ACTGGTGAACGTTATGTTCAACTTTTGAGAGAAAAGGTTATTCCCATATTGCAGGACAGACAAGCACTAAGCGAAATAACATTCATGCAAGATGGAGGACCTCCTCATATCTCCCGCGGTGCCAAACAATTGCTGAAGGATACGTTCGGTGAAATTCGTTGATAAGTCGCCACTTTATATACCAGTGGCCTCCAATATCACCAGACTTGACGCCTTACAATTTCGGTTACGGGGGTACATTAAGTCGCGTTTTTATCGATGCCGGCCTACCACATTGGCCATGTTGAAGACTTCTATCAGATGGCACGTTTTATAAATTTCAACTATTTAATTGTGACCATTCTGTCATCTATCGTCTGCAGGCGGTGTTTGAGAATGAAGGGCGCCACATCGAGCAAGGATTGTGACCTAATACAAGAGAGAAGGCAGTTACCTCATGTGTTATATTTTGCAGCTCTTTGTTTTGGGTTATGGGAATAATAAATGCTGTCCTCACATCTTGACTCTTTTTTTTTTCTGTGAACAGTAATTATTTTGTTTGTCATTTGCCCACATCCTATATTATGTCGTGCAGGCCAAAGTGTTATAACTTCTCGAATAACACTGGTATACACAATTTTACCCCCTATGTTTAGTTTATCGCTTTTCGCTCATTAGAAGAAATAGCATAAGGAATAATCTCTGTATCCCCCCCCCCCCCCCCCAACTTTTGAAAATTTGCGCAAAAAATAATACAAAATGATTTTACTACCACGTTTTTCAACGCAAAAGGTCGATTTAAAATGATTTTTTTGAGGGGATACATTTTCAAAATTATGTACAGTATAATAAACAATGATAAAATTTGACAAACCCATAGGATATTTGGAATAAAGTACGAAAAATATATTGTCACTCCCCTCTATATTTCATTTTTGGATCATGACAAATATCCAGTTAAATAGTCAAGTGTCGCCAATTAATCAAGAAACTACACATTCCTTATAGCAAGAAATCCTATTAGTAGTGCCATCATAAATTTTGGTACTATATTAACATTTCAAAAATCGTGTATTGATATCAGTAATTATTTTCAAACATTCAATCTATTTCACAAAACTCCATCTAAAATATAAATATTTTTTCTACATGTTTTAATTTGCATATACCTATTTTACATATCTCAGATTGTATTTAAAAATCGTCAACCAATTCTTATAACTTTTGGCGAAATGGTGTTTTATTAAATTATCATTTGATATTATTAGGGTTCTTTCCTGGTATTCAAAAAGGAAAAATACGTGTCGTTCAGTTATATTTTTTCAATTTATCAAACAATTTGGCCGCTGAATCTCTAATTCTGGTAGAGCGCCATCTAGCAAATAATGTTGTAACTAAAATCAATTTCGAATTTTTCACTATTTGCCATAAGAAATCCCATTGCATCCTGAACACAATGGTGTTTACCGCATTGCTCTAGCGCAAATATTCGCGGAGTTATTAATTTTTAAAGTTGTGCAGGACTTTTGGATCACCCTGTATATTTACAAAAAGTCAATTCACTCGCGCCTCTAGTGAAAATGAGGGGTAATACCAGCTGACCTAATGTACATGTAAAGTTTGGAGCGGGACGTTTCACAAGAGTGACATCCACGGTCCAATTTATAATTGTAACAAATAGTATTTGAATAAAAACATTCAATCGGGTAAAACACGGGCGTTGCCCGGGTCATTCGTCTAGTCAACATATATAGTCACGACCGTCTTTCCTCATCGCTGTCACGGATGCGCGCGCATCATCATTATGATCATTATCATTATCTAATGATAATAATAATAATAATTATTATTATATATTATTATTATTATTTTATTATCATCAACATATATAGTCACGACCGTCTTTCCTCATCGCTGTCACGGATGCGCGCGCATCATCATTATGATCATTATCATTATCTAATGATAATAATAATAATTATTATTATTATATTTCTATTATTATTCTATTATCAACATATATAGTCACGACCGTCTTTCCTCATCGCTGTCACGGATGCGCGCGCATCATTATCATTATCTAATGATAATAATAATAATTATTATTATTATATTATTATTTTATTATCCCTATATATAGTCACGACCGTCTTTCCTCATCGGCCTCAGTCACGGATGCGCGCGCATCATCATTATGATCATTATCTTTATCTAATGATAATAATAATAATAATTATTATTATTATTATTATCCCTATATATAGTCACGACCGTCTTTCCTCATCGGCCTCAGTCACGGATGCGCGCGCATCATCATTATGATCATTATCATTATCTAAAGATAATTATTATTATTATATTATTATTATTATATATATATATAGTCACGACCGTCTTTCCTCATTCCTCATCGGCCGCCTCTGTCACGGATGCGCGCGCACAGGGAGGTCACGTGCTCGCCGGCAGCCAACGGGCGCGCGCCGCCGGCATTACGTCATAGATTATAAACACAAGGTAATAAGGCCAAATAAAAAAATAGTGTGTGATAAGGCACAATTTGGATTTTCTACTTATATAATTGCCTTATTCTGTCTGTGTGAAGTTCACTGTGTGAAGTTCACGGATAGATTTTGGTCAGAATGGATAAAATAAAAAAGTGTCAAGGGATGGGAATCGAACCCACGACCTTCTGCTTATCGGGCAGATGCCATGACCACTAGGCTACCCTGGACATATTTTTCGTTCACATTTTTATTTTTATATTTTCTAGACACACACAGTTTGGGGCGGGACGTTTCACAAGAGAGACCTTCACGGCGCCAATTTATAATTGTAAAGAATAGTATTTTAATTAAAAACATTTTTAAAATATATACGCACTCGGGTAAAACCCGGGCGCAGCCCGGGCCATTCGTCTAGTAGATTATAAACACAAGGTAATAAGACCAAATCTAATGATAAGGCACAATTTGGATTATAGATTATAAACACAAGGTAATAAGACCAAATCTAATGATAAGACACAATTTGGATTATAGGTTATAAACACAAGGTAATAAGACCAAATCTAATGATAAGGTACAATTTGGATTATAGATTATAAACACAAGGTAATAAGACCAAATCTAATGATAAGACACAATTTGGATTATGATAATAATACAGTTATCAGCGTCATGCATTCTTTCTTAATTCTGTCACCGTTTGCCTTTAGTTCAATGGTAGAATGCTCGCCTGCCACGCAGGCCCCCCGGGTTCGATTCCCGGCCGATGCATTTTTTTTTTTACAATTTCTAAAACTCATTTATATTATTAAAATATATGTGCTTTTCCTGTCTATGTACAGATTTATGGTCTCTGTACACAAGTATACAAGTATGTATACAAGTTATTTGCAAATTGCGTGGCAAATTTGCCCTTTCGCTCGCAAGCAGCGCCTCTAGCGGTGAAAATGGGAGGTAATATCAGCTGACCTAATGAACATGTAAAACGTGTTTTAACAGGACATAGAGAAAAATCTGGAAAATATATTTTTCGGACTTTTAGTCAAGAAAAATAAATTGACAGGTTCTGGGAAAAAAGTAGTTGTTTTTTATTCAGAAAATGATGATGACAATAATGCTGTATCATATTTGATTATCAGATACAAAATTATATCCGGAAAAATTCCAAAAAGCAGAGACCACGGGTGAAGCCGGTTCATTTTTAGTGTGCAGGAACAAAATTCTAACAGAAAAACATTCATTCGAGCAGAAGACACAAAGCCAGATCATCTCTTTATAAAAATATCGCTTCTCAGACACGATGTTTGAAGCGGGACGTTTCACAAGAATGACATCCACGGCGCCAATTTATAATTGTAACGAATAATATTTGAATAAAGGCATTCAATCGGGTAAAACCCGGGCATTGCCCTTTCTTAATCAATTCTGTCACCGTTTTCTTTTGTGAATGGAATAAATACCCAAATATGGCCATTTCTCATAACCATCGGTGGTTCAGTGGTAGAATGCTCGCCTGCCACGCGGGCGGCCCGGGTTCGATTCCCGGGCGATGCATTTTTTTTTTACAATTTTTAAAACTCATTTATATATTATACTAGCGGATGTACCCGGCTTCGCCCGGGTTTTACCCGAGTAAAGGTTTGTCTAACGAACATTTATTCAAACAATTCTCTATAAACTTATAGATAATAGATATATTTTGATAATTTGAAACTCGTAAATTTGAATCTCTCGATAAAGTGAACATTTTTTCCCGGTCCCTGTGTGCCGTGTCATCCTGAATTTTGTATTTCCTAATTTTCTACATTACAAAATCATCGTTTTATCTAGTAAACATTTTTTCCCGGTCCCTTGAAAAATACTCGATAAGTTGAATAAAATCAATATTAATTGGTTCCCTCGCTAATTGGAAGTTGAAGGAATAGTATCTTTGCCTTGGAATTGTATCATTATTTCTTGTCTCAAATAAATTGCCGTGTCATTCTGAATTTTGTCTTTCCTAATTTTCTACATTACAAAATCATCGTTTTATCTAGTGAACATTTTTTCCCGGTCCCTTGAAAAATACTCGATAAGTTTAATAAAATCAATATTAATTCGTTTTCTCGGTAATTGGAAGTTAAAGGAATAGTATCTTTGCCTTGGAATTGTATCATTATTCTTGTCTCAAATAAATTGCCGTGTCATCCTGAGATAATCTTACTTTTGATAATAATCTTTAAGATAATAAACCTAGTGATAATAAAACTTATAGATAAAAAAAAAACTTATTATCATCGTCGCAATGGTGGCGCTGCTTGCGAGTTAAATCTACAAATATGCAAATAACTCTAAGGATATTCAAGATATTCAAGAAATTATTTTTCAAAAACCTTCCCAGTACTATACTAAATAACTTCCCAAAGTTTCATGGCGTTCCAATGAGTGGTTTGGTCAGGCCTAAAGGACACACACACATATACATTCATTAATATATATAGTTACCAGCGTCATGCATTCTTTCTTAATTCTGTCACAGTTTGCTTTTGGTTCAGTGATAGAATGCTCGCCTGCCACGCGGGCGCCCCGGGTTCGATTCCCGGCCAATACATTTTTTTTTTACAATTTTTAAAACTCATTTATATTATTAAAATATATGTGCTTTTCCTGTCTATGTACAGATTTGTGGTCTCTGTACACAAGTATACAAGTATGTATACAAGTTATTTGCAAATTGCGTGGCAAATTTGCCCTTTCGCTCGCAAGCAGCGCCTCTAGCGGTGAAAATGGGAGGTAATATCAGCTGACCTAATGGACATGTAAAACGTGTTTTAACAGGACATAGAGAAAAATCTGGAAAATATATTTTTCGGACTTTTAGTCAAGAAAAATAAATTGACAGGTTCTGGGAAAAAAGTAGTTGTTTTTTATTCAGAAAATGATGATGACAATAATGCTGTATCATATTTGATTATCAGATACAAAATTATATCCGGAAAAATTCCAAAAAGCAGAGACCACGGGTGAAGCCGGTTCATTTTTAGTGTGCAGGAACAAAATTCTAACAGAAAAACATTCATTCGAGCAGAAGACACAAAGCCAGATCATCTCTTTATAAAAATATCGCTTCTCAGACACGATGTTTGAAGCGGGACGTTTCACAAGAATGACATCCACGGCGCCAATTTATAATTGTAACGAATAATATTTGAATAAAGGCATTCAATCGGGTAAAACCCGGGCATTGCCCTTTCTTAATCAATTCTGTCACCGTTTTCTTTTGTGAATGGAATAAATACCCAAATATGGCCATTTCTCATAACCTTCGGTGTTTCAGTGGTAGAATGCTCGCCTGCCACGCGGGCGGCTCGGGTTCGATTCCCGGCCGATGATTTTTTTTTTTTTTTTTTACAATTTTTAAAACTCATTTATATATTATACAAGAATGACATCCCCGGCGCCAATTTATAACTGTAAAGAATAGTATTTGAATAAAACATTTAATCGGGTAAACCCCGGGCGTTGCCCGGGTCATTTGGCTAGTTAAATAATATATACGACTCAACTAAATTATGGAACGGATTGGCAGAAATTTTACGAAAAACTCCTGGATACAGAGACAATACCAGATTATGAACCACTTACTATGACTTTTCTAAATACAGATAACGAGCTAACTGAACACATAACTCTGAACGAAATAAACAAAGATATTTCTCGGATAAGGTTTGTTAAGGCGACTGGCTTTTACGAGATAATGAATGAAGCAATAAAGATCCTCCCTAAAGAATACTTAATTTCTTTAAAGGACATATTCAATAGAATCCTGAGAACATCTGAATTCCCGACAACATGGCTAAAATCAGTCATCCAACCAATTTTTAAGAATGATGATCAAGACGATCCCTTTAACTGTCTAGGCATCGCACTCTTAAGTAATATAGCAAAACTATTCACATCAATCCTCAAATCTCGACTAGGCAGCTAGATAGAAAGGAGAGATTGTTCCTGAAAATCAGGCGGGATTCAGAGGCGGTCACTCTTTCCAAGATCACATATTCACTCTTTTATCCTTGATTCAAATGACCCTAAGCTTAAAGAGAAAAAATTCTACATGTTTTTCGTGGATTTGAAAAAGGCTTTCGATGTGCTCCATCAATTTCTATGGAGAAAACTAATTGATGCAGGCCTTAACTATCGTTTCGTTAACTTAATTAAAAGTTATTATACAAATATATGACGGTGGTGGTGCGATGGAACAACTCATTCACCGAGTCAATAAAAGTGCGCTCAGGAGTTTTACAAGGGAAACCTATGTCACCTTATTTATTTATTCTTTCTATAAATGACTTAATTGATCTTTTCAATAATTCAGATTTACCTGGAATATACCTCACAAATTATGGAAATGTTCATCTTTTGCTATAGGCAGACGACATTGTCCTGATTTGGTGAATCTAAAGATAACCTTCAAATAAAAATCAAAAGGCTTAAAATATATTTTGAAATACATTTATTAACCTTGAATGAAAATAAGTCAAAAATTATGGTTTTCAGAAACGGCGGTCGATTAGCACAAAATGACAAATGGTTTTGGGGTGAGCGGCAGCTGTCTGTAAATACGAAATATCAATACTTAGGAGAGCCGCTTACAACTGCAAACTCACTAAACAAAGTATCTGCATATTACAAGGGCAAAGCCCTGGCAGCAATTGGTGCCGTATGGGAGGTCTTGACAAAATCCAAGGTCAACTCTTTATATGCGGCAATGAAATTATTTGATTCGACAATTTTGCTTCACATGTTATACGCCGCATCCTTTTGGGCACTTGACAAAATAAAAGTATTTGACCAAGTTCAGAACATCTCTCTAAGACGCTACCTGAATTTACCAAAATATACGCCGGGTTTTATGCTGAGAATGAAGTGCGGACTAGTATCACTGGAAGTTGTCATTATTAAACAGATTTTGAGATTTTGGGTGAAAATGGAAGAGAGCAGGTTGCCTCGCGTTTGTTTGGCACACCTCTGGACATTGCACAACCACCAAAGAGTAGGCTGCACATTCAAAATGACAAATCGCAAGTCTTAAATACCTCCCATTATAGTCACTTTAAATACTTTAAAAAAATCAATAACAGCAGAACTATATCTATTCACAAATACTCCTCTGGTATTCAAAAGACTTATTGCGCAACTGAGACTTCTATGGGTGTTATTCACAGAAAATCGATCAAAGCGCTGGAAGATTGACTGTCGTTTAAATTGTGATCTATGTAATATCAGAATACAAGACGAAATCATACATACAATTTTTGGTTGCTGTTGCTTTAGAGAGACAAAGAGGGGAACTCTTGGGTGATTTATCTTTGTCTCAATCGATAGTCAACAAATTTATAACTGGATGAATGCAATGACGTTTGATCAAGGTCTTCTTTTTGGTTATATAAATTCTACAAGGCCGCAGTCACCGTTCGGAGGGGATCAATGGAATCGACGAATATCGTGGTCCATTTGGACGAGGAAAGCGAAGACTAGAACGCGGCTTAATCCACACTAGCCTGTTCAGTGATACGCTAACATTGACGTATGCACGAAGGAACGTGTGGCCACTGAACATGCGTCGGACCTGGAGGCTGTTGTCGGGTGCTGCGCTCCCTGGAGTACAGGAGCTCCATCTATGTTTCCTTTCTTCCTGTGGTGAATCTGAATAAGACCGGTGGTCTTAATAAAGCTTTTTTTTTTGGTGTATGATATTATGAAAAGAAAATGCCTATTTAATATCTCGATTTAAGAAATATTAACAAAATGTAAACAAATAGAGCAGTGTGAAAAAATAGTACAAATGTAAAATTCTACTGGGATAAGGTGGATAAATAAAGAAAAAGGCACCTCCTTAATGTGAAACTGAAAGTTGCTGATGGCTTGCGCCATCTGTCGGAATAAATTAAAACTATTCGTTGATTCGTTCTCATGCACTTCTAGCGCCTTAACGACCTGTTTAATGATTTTACAGGATGCCTGAATGACCAGTATTTTTGGTCATTAAGGTACAGCTTACACCACGCTGACGAAGGCCAACAGCCTGAAACGCGTACGTGGTTACCTTATCTTGATTAATCAAGATTGGGTATTTGGCCAATTCTGGAATAATCAAAAATGAACGAATAGTTGATTTTTACTCCGACAGATGGCGCAAGCCATCAACAACTTTCAGTTGCACGATAAGGAGATGCTATTTTCTTAAAATAGACCAGTGTTACTCAAATTATTTTTAAAATATTTTCTGAAATAAGATTTTAAAAATTGAAAATATATATATACTAGCGGATGTGTACCCGGCTTCGCCCGGGTTTTATCCGAGTGAAAGTTTGCCTAACGAATATTATATATTATGAAGTATAATAAACAATGTTAAAGATTAGTTTTAATTATTAATCAAGATTGTGTGGGAATATGTGAGAAAGATGTAATATCGTTGTTGTTTTCTTGGCCGACTGTTTTACATATGGTGTTATCTTAAAATTGCTTTTTTTGAATATTTTTTTAGATTGAGTTGAATGAATTGCTGAATTTCTTATTTTTTTTTATTTATATATAAATAAAATTACTCTGTTGATTTTTTTTTTTGTATTTAATCGATAACAGCGAAGTTACGCATGTTAAAGTTAGGAAAAATATTTTGATGTTAAGCAAAACCTGCTCCATCTCGTTTTACATAAATGTTGATAATTTGGTCGAAATTGATGCATTGTAACGAAAGTTTTTAGCGAACACCACTTATGAAATTTGCATTTTATTAATATAGATTTATATATATTTTTAAAATATCGATATTGGGTATTAAAATATTTGAACATCCATTTTAAACTTCAATAAAATATTTATTACAGTATATTGTTGCATCAATTTTAATGCGCCCTACATTTATTCAAAATATTCTATGCTATTTAATATTTATTTAAAACAGATTATTTAGATTATCATCATTACTTTTTATAATTTCATTCTTTTTGTAATATTTTAGTGTACATATATGTCATAATTTGTATATAATTGTATGTACCCCCCGACCCACTATGCATGTACAATATATGATTTTCAAAGATTTAATAAAGAATAAGGTAACTGGAGGAAAGAAAGTGGCAACAAGACATAGGAAGCAGGCTAAAAGCGGGCACAAGTATAAATAACTTGTACAGTCAATACTTCCTGGCAAGCCCGGACGTATCTGGTATCCGCAGAAGTTATATTAGTAGAGAGACGCCCAATATTTCCGGACAGGACCGGACGCATTTGATAATTTGATAACGCGGAAGTAAATAGAGTCGAACACACCCGATACTTCCTGACCAGGCCGGGCGTAACTAACACCAAAGAAAGCCGCCGGTCCAATTAGAAAGCCTCCCCTAAATAGGTCAACCAATAGAAAAACGGACACGTTCCATCCTTCGACCAATGGGAAGGAAGACAACTCGTGGTGTTAAATCGAAAAGCAAGAATTGTCAGTAGTGATTTGGCTCTCATAGGAACAACACCTAGAGTTGCTCCTTCGCTCCCAACGAGGTGACATCTGCTCTGGACCTCTCTCCCTCTGCTCATCCCGTAGCT